GTTGTTGTTATTGAATATGCAGAAGGATGTAAAGTGCAAAATGCATGTTCTACAACAGATTATTCTATGCCATGACATATTTTTGTGTCTCTGAGGTGCTCATGCCAAATATTTTTCAAACTGTGTAAAAACCTCCCCTGGTTAGTGATTCCTTTACATAAATTATATTGTAAAAGTTTGGAATCAAAATCAAAACTGAACAAGTAAACTTATCCTGTGTGTTGCAAAATAAACCACTGAAATATACATTTTACTATAAATATTCCATTTCTTCTTTTCTTTTGTGAATTTTGGTTTCTATTAATTCACTTATCCTACGTTCACCAACAGCACAGCACACACATTAAATTCAAACTGGGTTGTTTTGTTTGTTTTTTGGGGGGTTGCGACTCCTGAAAATGTTCTCCTTCCCAAAACTATATTCTTTTGTCACCACTTATTCAACAATGATCTGGTAACATCAAAGTACACCTAGATGTGAAGGAAATGCATGAATGTCATTGAAAGTGACATTCATCGCAAATGTTTGTCCTGCATGACTTCTGCTTCCCAACTTTACACCTTCTTTGCATGTTACTGCTTCAATACTGAAGGGAAAATGTTAATGAAATTAAGTCTTTGTTTAAATGCTGAGAAGAGTTGGGTAACATTTTTAGTTACACAGTAAAAAAATAGATCACAATCAGTATATCGTATTTAAGCCATCTGTTGTTATTTGGGTTAGAGGTTACCCTAAAGAAACCAAAACTCTAAGCAAGACAAACCCAAACTAGTAAAACCATATCCTGCTAACTTACTCTGCAGATAATTATGAGTATTTACTTCAAAGTACACCGATAAATAACTAGAAATAATTAGATTGTTATGTAAGAGCAACAAAAAAAAGACTATTTTAAAGAGACAAACTTTATCTTTAAAACTTTTGCCCTGCCCTGTTCACTGCAGTATCAATGTATTTAAAGCCAAAGCTGGAAAACTGTTAACTCAAAGTCACGTACCTTCATGCAAAATAAATGACATTCAGCGATGTAAAAATGTGACAGCGGCATTAATGATTCACTTGAAAAGCCAACCAACACAATAAAAGGTTTTCATAATATGTGCAGTTAAACTTTGAATTAATAAATAATGAGACTCATAATCCAGTCACAATCGTATAAAGTTTAGTCTATTTCTCCTTTTCATCTGCTATGCAAGACTTCAAGAAAATCTGGCAGTGCTCCTGTAGGTGTCGGTAAATGTCACAGTCGGGAGCTAATCCAGCATGGTAAATGCCATCTACGCCTTGTCACTTGGCCATTGGGAGCCCAGAACAGTTGATTGATGTAAAGAACAAAACCACTTTCTATTGACAGACAGACCGTAACACACAGTCCACCGGGACTGTGGTCACAGTGGTCAGCGTACAAAACAACATGTTGGTGGCTTTTGTCTTCAGAGGAGGAATGTGGTTAACACATCAACCCTCAACAGGCAGAGTGACATGGAAAGGTGTGAGGTGCGGAGGAAGAGAATCACATGTGACAATAAAAGAGGTGGAGTTTTCAGAGCAAAGAAAAAGAAAAAAAGGAGTGTTTTAATAAGCAGAGTTTATGAGTGCCAGGCGGTCAAAGATACTGAATAAGCCTCAAATGTTCATTTGACCTGAGCAACATATTGATCGAGAGAGAATGTGGAGCACATAATAACATACTGAGGATGGTGCACGAAATATTTCCGTGTATTTAAAGCACTGATTTCGTTTGAGCAGCACAGAGCTCTGTCGAATAAAGGATAAATCCTGCACATATAACTTACACATACTGACCAGGGGAATGCTACAAGTTGTCGTCACACCCTGGCTGCATAGCACCAGCTGCAAACAAGGTGTGTAATGTTATCACATGGGAGAGGCCTTTCTGTGTAAAAATTAAAAGTTGTCTGCACAGGTATGCGCAGGTTCTGTGCAGGTGCAGTTGTTTGCTCTGTATTTTCACATATAATTTGATTTTAAAGCTGACTGCATCAGTCAGGTCTCTTTGCAGACATTTCCATGCCCTTTAACATGCAGAAAAATGAGCAGCCCTACTGGCTTGGCTGTGACACAACTCAATCAGAGCACTGGAGAAAAAGTGATGGACAGAGACAGAAGAAAATGAGTGATCCATCTTTGAGAGTAGTGCCATGACTAATTATAATGACATTGACTAAATATTGGCAGACTATGGTGTTTGTTTTAATCAGATGGTGAATTAAGTTGACTTGCAGAAGATGGATCAGTTTGGGGTGGGGGCTCAGTGGGCTAAACACAGAATGCTTAATGTTTTTAATTTTGCTGATGGATGCTGGAGACACGCAATAATTGGTCCATAACACTAAATTTGGATGAATTCATTTAAGGCCTTGGCCTCAAAACATGTTGTCAGACAAAAGCCCAGAGTGGTATTTGCAAATGTTTATAAAATCAAATGCTTAAAACTGAATAAACATATCTAAATTACTTTCTTTTTTTTTTAATTTTCACCAAATGTTACTTAGAAGAAAGATTACTTGGTCGTATGTATTTCTAAAAATACTAGATCAGGTAAGATTTATTCAGTAACGTAATATAAAATTGCTTTGATAAGCTGTATTCTTAAAAAATTGCAATATATCATTTCCTACAGTCGTATTTTGCATTAGTATGAACTTTAGTTGTGTTTTTAAATATCCCCTACACTCCTGACATTCTTTAGAGATGATGCAGAGCGTAGAAGAGGGTGCAGAAATGTTCACGGCATTATTCCAGAGATCTTCTATCTGGACTCCAATTATAGCAACTGGAATATCAGCGTTGTGTTCGAGCACATAACAAAGATTAAGCTTTTGCTATCAATATCGAGGTCTTATATACCTTTCTGAATGTGTTTTATTCTGGAAAGCAATGCCCGTCACATTGTACTTAGTGCACTTCTTCGATCCTCCAGGGTCACTGCAAGCCCGTCTTTGTCTTTCATGCTGTGAGAGCATTTTCAACAGAAAATCTCCCACTGAAAGGTACATGTGGTAACAACTGCGAAAAAGATTCAGTCCAACAGTGTCTGTGTGTGAAAAAGGGTATATATCCATTCAGACCGCAAGACAATACAGAGGTGATAGTGGAAGGTGAACCAGTGATTAAAGATTTTAAGTTTATTGTTCAAACATTACATGCTACAAAATTAGAAATGTGAAAGTTTAATGAAATGCTTTAATTGCAAGGTAACTGTAAGGTTTTGTTAGGTTTTCTGTGGATTTATGCTCCATATTTTGGCCCCTGACCTCTCCTCCTCCAGGAATTAATCAATGGACCTCATGAGTAAGAATCTCTGTCATTCATATGGACCCAACGTATTATTGTGAATTCAAGTGCTGTTTCAAAGAAGAGAACCTTGACCCTTTGCATTTGGAAAAAAAAAACTCATGCAGTAATAGAGACTATTTTGCACATATGGTATCAGACTTGATTAAAATGTGTAATCAGTGTTCTCACTCTAAGTTTAGGAAGTAAAATTAGGAATAAGAAGAAATTGCATGAATGTTTAAGGAGTTGATTAAATCATTAATTAGCTCCTGTAAATTTTTGCAGTATCTGATGTGCTTTCTCAATTTTAGAAATATATATTTTAATCTATGGAAAACCAGAAACAGCAAGAGGAACCGGAAGGCACAACCCAGATTTCACTCTTATTCTCTCTGCAGCCAATATTAGCGATGACAAAACCCTGTTTTACCGGCACCTGACTTTAGAGAGATTTAAGTCCAAATGTAAAGTACTGACTTTTATAACAAGTATTTTGAAAAGGTTAGTTCTATTTTTTTTTTATTTCTGCCTGTAGAAAGCAGTTGCCCTTTCAGCTCCTGGACTGTACTTCTTAAAAATAAAAGCTGATTTTACTGTCAAAACCAGCACAGTGTGATGATTACTTTTCATTGAGCATACATCCGAAACATCCATTCATCTATTATCTAAACACTCTTATACCTGCAGACTCTGGGAACACCCTGGACAGGTCACCAGTTCATCAAGGGTCGCATCCAACACCAGTTAACACTACTAGGACACCAACTCTGGAAATATTATTGGGCCCCACTGAAATTTCAATGTAAACCTGTAATCATTACACAACAAACTGCTCAAATATAGAACATAAGGGAAACACAAAACACTATAAATGTATGCAGTTTGTTCAGATAACATTTAATTGTGAAGCATGTTATGCTTAAAACATGCACTATGACTACATGAACTGTTACATGAACTTATCAGAAGCCACAAATTAGTTAAAATTAAATGTCTGCCTTGCTAGTTTTGATTGAACTCATAAATGTTTTATCTCAGACATGTGCAACTGAATGACATCAAATACACTGACATGCAAATTCATAAGCATCATGTGCAAAAGGTTTATTATATATTAAAATCTGGGTGTGGACTGGATTAACTTGCCCCCCCTACAGCTTCATGTCTAGCAACTCTCCTGCTTGTGACTCATTATATTCTGTCAGATCCCCTTTATACTGAACACCAACAATAATGGAAAGTTGACATTTTATTTAATTGTTACTCTGAAAAACTGAAAGATGGTGAAAATCTAAAACAGATTGGTGGATCATGAGGCACAGTCCAGATGTGACTGTTGTTTGTTTTTTTTTTGTTTGTTTGTTTTTTTTTTAATAAATTAATATCCTCTGTGAGCATTAGTATATATTTTTTACTGTACTCTGTTGATCCCTCTTCAACTAGAACGCAACAGATTTTACACGTATTTTAAAGGGGGTAAATTCTGCAACCATTGCTGATTTTCATCTATCTGCCATTTCAACCCATCAATTCCCCTCCTTAGATATAAAGCTGGGGGATAACGCAAACAGCAAGCAAACGCATCTCTTCTTTAACATAAACGGCGACGCAGATTCTTAGTTGAGCTTAATATTATGAACTTTTTGTGGAACAAATTGCTTTTAATCGCATTGCATGTTGTTATCTTAGTGCATCTTACCTTGCCTGACACGCTGTGGTATGAGCAGCGTGGAAGCGTTGCCACAAGAGATGTTTGATGCCTCCAAGCTCCCATTCACCGCTCCGCTCTGGATCAAGTCCTGAAGCACTCGGACACACTCTATAAATGCCTCATTCCGCAAATCAAGATCCATGCCTCACAATTATCAGCACTAATATAGCCTGAAATATGTTAAAGCTGCCAAATAAAACTGTTCACATTCAGTACCTTCTATCTGTATTCTGTGTGAGTCCGAAGTGGTAAAATAAGTGCCATGCTCCAGCGCACTTACCTAAGTTACGAGTAATTACAAAAAAAAAAGAAAAGGGGGGAAAAAAAAACATTTTTCTCATAGTCCCTTCATGCCAATGTGCAACTAAAGATTCATCCTGTTTGGTGGCATTTGTAAATGTAAGATCTGTGCGCACCGATGGGAAGGAGCGCGGCGCTATGCTGCGCTTTTTCCAACAGACCTGCACGGAGAGCAAGCGGGCAGCGCAAAGGAGAGTGGATTTCTAATGTCATGAAGTGTTTGAATGTGTGTGTGTAGGTGTGTGTGTGTGTGTGTGTGTGTGTGTGTGTGTGTGTGTGCGTGTGTGTGTGTGTGTGTGTGTGTGTGTGTGTGTTGGGTGTGTTTGAGAAAGGGGGAGGCAGAGAGAATGAGATCAGAATTCATGATTCTGTTGATTCATGATGTTGATTTATGATTAGCCTAATAAAAAAATAACACTGTTTAAAGGATAAATGTGCTATTTGTGAGTGCAGCTTTAAATAAAATTATTTAATTAAAGATGATCCTGAGACATTTAAGTTTTTTATCCAATTACAAATATTGAATAGTTTACTTAATGAAAATGATTTAATCAGTCTAATGAGGGACTTGTAAACTAAGTCCCTTACTTATTAAAAAGAACAGCATCTCAGCCTAAATAATCAATCATAACATGGTCGTGACATTTCTGAAATTTTCTACATATTTAAAGTATTTATGGACAATTTTAGCATTTTAAGACAGGGTGCGTTAATACAGTTTGATATCCGTCCACTTTTCATCCAGACGGGATTGCTGTCAGATTTTATTCGAAACAGAAAAGTTTTCACTTGATTTAAAACAGATTGATGTCATGTGCTACTTTGCAAAAGCGAAGGAAGCGGTTGTACCAGCTCACCGGTGCCCCCATGTGGCGAGCAAGTATACTTCTTGTGAGAAGATTCCATTGGCTTTTCCGAAAAGTTAGAAAAAATCTGGTCTGCACAAGTCTGCGCTTTGGATGGACTGTTGCCTTTACGTTATCCAGAGCCGAACTGAGGAGAAATCAGGTCCTAATCAGAACTTATTTTGGTTGAACGAATCTCCATGCCATCAGTCACCAACGCCACTATTGACCTTTCTTTTATTTTTTTTATCGCCCATTACTTGATGATAATCTTTGTACCACTGTACATTAATCAACTTGTTTACCAGTGAGCTAGGAATGAATTAAAGTGAATGAATGAATTATCAGTGAAGTGGTAATGTGCAGACAGGTGGAAATTAATAACATCTGATAGTTGACTCAAACTGTTTCCACAGTGGGAAGCATAACAAGTTAATAGACTCATAGATATAGTAAAATAAAAACATACATACATAAAAACAAAACGGACAAAAATAATACTAGTCAGGGCAACAACACGAAATACTGCAACATTTTATGATTATTGTGGACTTCACTTGTTAACCAGAAGTTGAAGATCTAAGTTTAATCAAGTAAGAAAAAAAAAAAAAAGACTTGCTGGATGATTTAGCTCAGAGACAGGCTGCAGTTGTTAAATTAGCTATAAATTATGACTGTTATTACTTTCAAGCTGTGATTTTTTTACTTTGCATATCTGTGAACCAACAGATGACCTGAGAAAGCTGCAATTATTCTATTATGCCTGTGGTAGGTCCTGATGTTCACAGGGTTTCTAATTGTTCATCCTTAACAAGAAACTGATGACAATGTCTGACGGTAAAATGTTAATCACTGTATATTCTCTTCCCTTATTTTGGATTGCCAACATGCTGACCGCTTGCCAACTCACTTATAATTTCTGTCTATTAAATGCACATCAGTACATTTTAATAAATTCAGTTTGAAGTGTGTTACTATTTTCTTCCCACCATTGGAGGTTGTTTTTTCTATTATTTTTTCCAAATGTCATGTTTCCCATGAACAATATTTTTAACCTGTTTCTTTTTTTTTTAACAGATCGTCACAAATCCCAGTTCATGCGCGCAATAAAACATCTATTTTTTAAAAAGAGGTTGATGTGGTTCATCAATTTTAAGCATTAAGGAGAGGTGGCTTTTTTAGAGAAACAAAATGATGCCATATTCAGTCCTGTTATTACAGTTGATGATCCAGTCCTTTCTAACGTCCAACAAAATCATCCAGAGACGTCCAAAACACTGAGAGCTGAGTTTTATTGCGCTTGTAATCAACCAAAAGAGGCACGAGAAGAATAATAACTATCAGAAAACTATTTACTCAAAATTTGATGAATTTATTTTGTAATTAAGCTTATTTACAGCATGATAAAATTGTGTGATTTTCATCAGGACTATTCAGATCTCTTCTTTCAAACAAAACGCAGTCAAGGCCATTTCTTTCAGGCATGTTCTTTAGTTCTGTTGAACAGATTTTTCTGTCTTTCAACTTCAGAAATTTTTATTTTTTATTTTATTTTATTTTTTCAAAAAAGAGATTGCTTTTAGATGGCTATTATTTTGTTCTTTATTCCAAAGTTTTTACATTTTATTTTGAGATGGAATAAGGATAAGGACATTTAATTTTCTAAAATCACAAACCAGAGATTTTAAGCGGTTAGTTTATGGATGTGTATTATTTTATGTTTGTTTCTGGCACAAGGATTTACGGAAGGGTATTGCTAGACTAAAGCATTCCCGTCCTCGAGGGCCAGTGTCCAGGAACTTTTAGATGTCTCTGTCTTATCACATCAAATCGTCTCAAATGAATGTGAAGAACTTGACTGCATAGTTGGAAGGTGCTTCAGCTACTTGATTCAGGGGTGTGGAACCACAGACACATGTGAAAGTTGCAGGACACCGGCCCTCAAGGATTGGAGCTACAAACCCTGGACTAAAGGGAGGATGAATACAAATGTATGTCAGATTTATCTGATTTTTATCTGTTAAAAAGTTGGAGTATGAATATCTTCCCGATGCACAATAATAATCACAACTTAAGGCACGCACAAGCTTGTTTTTTTTGTTTTGTTTTTTTTTTACTGTTCTGTTTGTACATTTGGGAGATTAAACTGCCGCTGCACCCGAAGTCTCGATGTTGCTGCAGGAAGCAGACCTCATCTACTTGGCCTTTAAACACTCAAGGGACTCCCAGAAGAGAAGATTAAAAAAAATAAAAAATAGGACCATTATTTCAAGCATGGCCTCTGTAATCTCTCTCCAGTTTTGAGTGGCTGCAGCAGGTCATGTGCAGAGCCTCTTACCCCAGATAAACAAGCTTGTGAGGATTCCAATCAAGACGAGAAGAGAGACTAGTGCTTCCTTCTGAGAGAGGTAATCGCTGCATAGCGTGGAGCATTGATTATGGATGCTCCGGTACTGATGAGGATATATAATAAAAGAATATAATCACCGCTGGGGCAGTACTTCGCAGCCCATTTCTGCATTATTCCGACTCATCAATATGTCCATACTTTCTTCGCGTTTCTGTAAACACCCTCCCATTTTGTTACAGATCAAATGAACAACTGCGGCCCTGGAAGGCTCATCAATACCGCGCGTTCATCGTCTGGGGAAGACATTAAACACAAGCTGATGACGGCAAGTGATGGATAGTGAATACATCAGCACTAAACCGAGCTAAAACAGCTTCCTGTCTCCTATCTGTCCTTTCCTCCTCTGCCTGTTTGGCTCGTGGACTCCTGATATCGATTGCTAAAACACTGTACCAGGTCGGTAAAGGAGGGGGGGAAGGCTGAGTCATGTGTTGTCTGGTAATGGGGTATGCTCAGATCACCGACCCAGCCCAGGCTGAAGTGATTGTTATGGAGGTAAACACGGTGATGTAGCAACAAACATTTAGATTAGCTGATTCCCTGCTATCATTCAAGCTTTTAAGCTTAGTCCATAAATCTTTAATAGGACTTAGGTTGTGGCCATTCCAGAAGCATAATGTTTTATTCCTTCTGAAACCGATATTGATATGTTTGGGATTTTTGTGCTGTTTTGAGTATTAAAAAGTTTCAGTCATACATCCGTTGGCACTGAGGTGAAAATTAATGATTTTAAGATAGTCTTCGGTCTTCATAATGGCTATTTTTTAAATTTTGCACAGCTTTCAAAGGTGCAAAAATGCATTCCGAACATGCATTTTTCATTGTGGTGAAAAAGCTGAATCTTTGATAAGACTTCTCTGCCTTGGCCATGTAGTTTGCTTGGTTTGCAAGTGACTTCAAAAGTCTTGATTTAGGAGCAGCCCTGTCTTTTATGGTCTTCGTTGTTCACCTTGATGGTAAACCTGTATCCTGTGGAAAGTCTCACTGGTCTTCATGCAGTTTCCACTGATGGTTCATAGGATGGATTTATGTTTGTATGTTTTCTAACCATCTGGGTCAAAAATGGTCAATTCTGAATTTAGAAATTCAACAAAGTTCTAAAAACATGCAGGAAAGAACTTTTGAATTTTATTCATTGTTTACTTGATGGGAACAGAGACAAAAAAACAGATCAAAGCAATCTGATGTGTGTGTACAGCCATAGTTAATTAGCAGCACTTGTCCCTAAATGCATCATGATCATGCTCCTTTCTTTTGGAAATTTATAATAGAATGATTAACTGCATTTTGTGCTGCAATATGTCGGAAAATATTGCACTTTTTCCTGAACATACAAGATCCTTCTTTTAACAATGAAGCACAAACATTTGGAGTATCTTCTATTGTTTTTGCACAAGAGCTGAAATGTTGTGACTTGAAGTAAGTACAGTTAAGAGATGTGTAGTGAGATGGTTTTGTTTACATCATTATTTCTGCAGTGTGTACAAAGACAGTGGGGGTAATGCGATATGTGTTCTTGCAGGCTGCTGAATGGAAATTGATGTCCAGTAGGTAATGGATTTTATACATCTTTCCACCTACAGTTAGGAATATCCCAGCAGGCATTAATACTCCCTGTGGTAATAGATTGCAAAAAAAAAACAAAAAAAAACAACAAAAAAAACAAATGAGCCCCCAAAAATTCTGTGCAACTTATTTAAGTTCAAATGACTAAAATGGCTTTGTATCAATCATTTAGAAAAACATAACAAGCAACCTTAAAATAAAAGAAGGGTCTTACTGCAGTAACATAACCATAATGATAAAAAATGACTGCTTTTCTTCAGCTCACCTTTTTCCTTTTCAAATACATGCGTTTGTGAAAACAGCTGAACATACCACATTAATAAATGAAAAATTATACTTGCCCATGTGTTAAAAAAACACAGTTCTTCTCTGAAAAAAAATATTTCAAAACATTTGAAATATTTACCAGTGCATGTTTTTAAGGGGCTTACAATTTTTTTTTTAATTATGATGTCTCGGTCACAAATCGAACAGCGTTATATCACTGCTTTGTATCACACACACAGGATTTTCCGAAGTTACTGTAACATTTTGGATTAATATTTTTATTTGAAGGGAGGCTTTTTTTAAAACTGTTTGAAAAAGACAAATATATATTTTTAGAAGAAAAAAAATTTCTATAAAGATGTTCTCAAAACTTAATATGACTCTGTTGTTGTTTTCCTCATAAACCTAAACTTTTGCTGATGTGTCATCAAAACTGGCTCGATCGATCCTCCTAAATGCAAAACTGACGTTTATTTAAAACATCAAGATCCACAACAAATGTGGCTTCCCGGTCTAATATGTTAAGTAACAAAGTTAAATCATCCGTCATTCATAAGCAAACACCATAAGGACGCTTCCCGCTTCATTTTGACTGTAATGTCTCTACTTTAATTAATGAATTGACACCAGTCCTGTGTACCTTTGACCACTGAACGGATGACCGCTCACCCTCAGATGAAAGGCCGCACATTGCCATCGCCTTGACACACAGCCATAACAGCCTTATTTAAAAGCTGTTAAATAACTCAGCCTTTAGTCTCACCTTCGACCTGTCAAAGTCCGGATGGAGAGATGGAGAGGTGGGAGGGAAGCAGCTTTAAGACTCAATAACAGCTAATCACTGACAGGTGAGCTCCCCCTTTGGAATTGGACGTCAAGCAGAGACGAGTTGGTGAGTCATTTTTGAATATTCTCTAATTTTAGAGGGGTTTTTTTAAAGAATTATGGCATAAAATGTATTTAAGGACCTCTTTAGATTGACAGAAATGTGAGTAAAACGTAAGTCAGTAGATCAGTAAATCTGAGATGTTTAAATGTATGACAAACAGCAACAAGAAAACCAAGCGTTACTGCTTACTTCAAACCTCCTAATTACATGTCTGCATTTTTAAAAACCATGAAGTGGTTTAACAACCCCTTTAGTCTCTTACAGTGAGGACAAATAACAACAGAGCTTCCAAGAAATTAAAGGAAATAATAATAAAAAAAAACATATTTGAAAGAGATTTAAATACTTACATAATCTATACTATAAGGGGAGTGATTTTCTTGTTACGCTGTAAACTGGCAGAGAGTAGGTGTTCAAGAAAATCCATGTATCATCAGCATAATCTAAATTAATTCTGTTATCTTGGTGAATCTGAAGGACGCAGCCTCGATGCAGGAAAAACAACTGAGATTCATCCTTTCAGCTTTCCTGACGAAGGTGTGCAAGTCCTGAACTGTTGTCTTAATAAAGAACCTCACACCATTTTGTATTTTTCCTCTGAAGTCAGTGTGTTTCACATGTCAGATGAATCACCTACAGTACATATCCCTTTATGGCCCAGCTTTAATAACAAGCAATCAAAGGAATTAAAGGGACAATCCTTATTTTGCATTCAAAGTCCACGCAGGTTTTTATGACTTTACAGTCAGCTGTGTCATCTGTTAATAATTACCCAGCTCTGCTGGAAGATAATGGAAGATTAACTTCTCATCTGAAGACATCAGCACTTCTGTTTTGTTTTTTTTATTTCCATGTGGTGTATTAAAAGGTTTATGCACAATGTGTAACACGGGTTATGAGAAGAGGGGAGGGAAGGATTTTAAATTGTGTTCTTTTTACTTAAAAACTGCAGGTACTCCTTAAATGTAACGCTATTTCAGGAGTCATGTTTTTTGCATCTTTTGTCATAATATTTAAAGTCACAATCTCACTATATGCACCTGTTTCATTTGGATAAATCACTTGCATCATCTCCAGAGCATATTGTGTTTTTGCAATAGTTTGTGTGACTTTTTCCTTGTTTCCAATGTTTCATCAAATGCAGCAGTTTAGTATATTTCTGCCAAAAGAAAGAGGGAAAAAACATAAACAACCACAAAAATCTTAACAGAAATACTTACATAATCTTGGTAGATGCACAAAAGGAAAACTATAAATTATAATTTGGACAAATCACTTCTACTATCTCCTCAGCATATTGTGTTTTGCAATATTTTGTGTTGCTCAATTCATTTTTCCGCAAATCAACAATTTATTATATTTTTGCAAAAAAAAAAAAAAAAAAAAAAAATAAAAAACCTTTGCAAAAAAAAACTGCCTACAATGCTCAAAAGGAAAATTGGAAATTTTCCATAATCCTGACGAACATTTCTAAGCATATTTTTCTTTTGCTCTGGCAAAATATATATTTCCCCTTTGATTTCACTTTCTAATTATCCAGCTAATTATACATGTCAAGTGTCATCACAATCTAATACAATGCAAGATTTAGATTATCTAAGTATCACTGCACGAGAGTTATTATATATGAATAATAATTAGATTGTGATTCTTTCACTCCATTATGAGACATGACCACCTATAAGCCGAGGGTGATTTCTCTGACCAAGACTCCGGGTCAAACATTTGGCTTCTATCTGAGAGTGGAGCAAAATGAGGAAGGTCATCTGATCCGCTGCCTGGAAATGGGAGGCCCAGCTGAACTGGCCGGCATGAAAGACGGAGACCGCATCCTTCGGGTCAATGGAACATTTGTTGATGAGCTGTCCCACTCCGAGGTGAGCAGGCCTTCAGAGGCACTGCAGTGCATTAATCAAATCGATAAAGACTCTGACTCATTTTCTGTTTTTTTTGTTTGTTTTTTTTTGTTGTTTTCTTCGTTTTCCCTTTTTACAGGTGGTGGAGCTGGTGAGGGACGGCGGGGCATCCGTCTCATTCCACATCCTGGATGAATCGTCTTACAAGAAAGCAAAGGCTTTGGGGGTGAAACTCTCTGATCCCCATCTCACACCAGTGGCCAAAGGAGCGACCAAAGAGCCTCCAAAACTCAAACTGTGCTACTTGGTCAAGACTTCCTCGGGATATGGGTTTTCTCTTCGCTCAGTAAGAGGTAAGATATGGAACTGCATTTATAGCATCAAAGGGTATAAGGTGTGAAAATCCTCATGATAGGATCATATTATTATTCCCTGCTGCAGTACAGTTTTATAGATTTAACATTTAGAAGAGAAAAATCCAGCATTTAATTTGAATACATATATTTTATTCATGTGAGTGTTTTTGTGTTTCTTTCAAAATCACCTGTGCCACACACATCTATGCCACTAACAATTCCTAGAAATTAAATCTCACTGAAGCATTTTTCTTTTGTCTTTATCTATTCTTTATAAGTTGAGCGGCATTTCTGTAAACTATAAATTAGTAATTCATAATTAGATATAATGTGACAATAAAACCATGATACCTGGCCACGAGGCAGGGAGAAAGTCCAAGTTTATATTGGCATCACACACATTTCACAGCTAAGAAGGTAGGAAACTGCAGCAAAAAGATGACCAGGTTTCCATAACAACCGGTTTCTTATCCAAAACCCCTAGGAAGTTAAAAAGTATTCAAGGTAACTCTCAGAAACACCAGGAGACTTTAAATGAAATAGTTTAATGTTTTATACTGAGTTAACGTTGTCTAATTAAGCTTGTATGTTCTAAAATGTTCTGCTTATGTCTGCAATAGCAGATAAATTTAGTTTAAGGTTATTTCACATCTTGATAAGGGTTCCTAATAAGTAAATAACTGTATAAAATGCATAAATGTCTCTCAAAATCTACTTTCTCTGACAGTTATTTTTTAGATCTGATCAACTATAACATCATAATTCGCTCTGGGTGGTGACATGATATCCAATAGTCTCTTGGTTTCTGTGAGAACAGCGTTTATCCCCGGACTGGAAAGTCTTTAAGGTCTCTTAAAGGAGTGGAACGTGTTATAAACTTTATGAGTACAAAGCCATCGAATGTAAGAACTAGACTAGTTAATATTACCATCATGTGTGACAGAAATATCTTTGAATTAGTATTTCAAGGTCCTTTTAGATTTTGCAGAGGTTTCACTGCAGTGCTGATGGAGCTTTATGTTACCTAGCAACAGAGCTAGATGGAGTCTTTTAAGTTAAAACTAAGTATCTTCATATGTAACTGGAAATCGCAGTAACACCTCCTAGTTTTCAGATTATTTCTTTATTATTATTATTATTATTATTACATCTAATTAAAAAAAATGAAAATTTTATTAGCCACCCTTAGAGAGATGAGTAAAACATGTCCTAGAGAAGACAACCTACATCTACTGAGTAGTTGTTTTTTTCTAATTTGTATAGTTCTATCGATTTTGAACACAATAATTTAAAAAAAAAAACATAAAAAAATATGTATGATTGCAGGCATTTAAAATACTTCTGTCTTTTCTGATATGCTTTTACAATGTCACCAAATGGCTTTTTGCATCTGGAACAGAGGCTCTGCTGTTTCTTCAAGCAAATAAGAAATGTTTTTTCATGTGATTTCATCCATGCATCATTCTATTTTGTCTGTTTTACCAGGCGAACCAGGATTGTTCATGACTCAGGTGGACTCGGGCAGAGTAGCCTACAACGCTGGAGTCAGAAACGAAGATCGTCTGCTCGAGGTCAACGGGGAGAACATAGAAAGCTACACGCATGACGAAGTGGTGGAAAAGATCAAACTGGGAGGGAAAAGCGTCATGCTCCTGCTTGTTGACAAGGAAACGGACAGTTTCTATCGCAACAAAAAAAACAAGATAGGATCATGGTTGGCAACAGTAAAGTTTCTCCCACTGCAACCGCGCTTCATCAATTTGACCAAAGGGTCTAATGGATATGGATTCCTGCTCAAAGAGGATCCAGGCCAAGGAGGCAAGGCCAAAAAATAACCCTGTGTGTTTCACTGCAGAGAAGGGGTTGTGGTTTAACGACACGCTCCATGATTTCTTGCAGGACACTTCATAGGGGAAGTAGACAAAGGCAGCCCTGCAGATAAAGCTGGCCTGCGGAAAATGGACAGAGTTGTTGCTGTCAACGGGACGGATGTGGACAAATGCAGCCACAAACAGGTGGTGGACTGGATCAGGCTATGTGACAACACATGCTCCTTCCTTGTGGTGGACAAAGACACGGACCAAATGTACAAGCAGGTGAGCCACCTACTCACCTGTAGTCTTTCTAGTTCTGCTTACAACGTTGACAACATGCTAAGGTAATCATGTTTCATGTCTCACAGGGTAAGGTGTCTCCGATGCTTTTCTGGGAGGAGATGAAAGGTTCTAACTCCCCACCCAGTTACACCGAAGCTTTGAGCTTACCTGCTCCTGCCCAAACATCCATGGCTGGAAGAGATAAAACGGAGGAACTGAGACCCAAACTGTGCAGAATGGAGAAAACCTCTGCCGGTTATGGCTTTCACCTAAACGGCATTGAAGGGGTGCTTGGCCAGTACATCACAGAGGTAAGATCAACAAGAACAAGCACTGTCTGAGGGAGACTACTCCACAAGAACCTGGTTAAAATCACCTCTTTTCAGGTGGTGAAAGGCGGTGCAGCAGACAAGGCTGGAATGGAGAACGACGACGTTGTGATAGAGGTGAACGGTGAGAATGTGGAGCAGAGCACCCATGCTGAGGTGGTGAACATAATCCGCAGAAGTGGCAACACTCTGGAGATGCTGGTGGCCAGACAGGATGTCTACAAACAGCTCAAAGCCACAGGTGTGAAGACCACACCGCTTCTCCTTGGGGAGACCTTCAAGGGGAAAACTCGCACTGCAGAGTCTCCAAAACCAAACAGGGAAGAGGAAAAGCAGCAGCAGCAGGAGGAGGAGGATGAAGCCAGGCCAGAAACTCCACCTCAACAGGAAAGACAGAGGGTGAGTGGTGCTATTTACCATCACCGGTCATATTTCTAACCAGCATGGTGTTAAATGTGACTGTTCTGATCCACTCTGGGATATTTTGTGCAAATTGTCACAGTATCTAATTGTGAACAATTAGAGTATAATTTCAACTATGTCCCTTGACATTCTTAAAGAATATTTTAGAATCTAAATCATGCCACGGTAAATATATACGATTAACAAGAGTGTCGAGATTAAAGTTATACTGCTGATTATTTCACCACATAACATTTTGTTGCTTTTTGTTAAAGTGCTCCGGAAAGTCATTGATGTCATTTGAACTTTTCACATCTTGTCATGTTACAACCACATATTCCATTGTACTTCATCGATTACCTACATGTGGCTTTCATTTTGGTTCAGCTGAAATATGACAAACAAAAATGTTATCGTACTTTCTGTTCCTACTTTTAGACTCCCTCTGTGTCATCATCTTCGTCTGAAGACGGCATCGACGAGAGACTCTGAAACGACGCCCAAAGGAACAAATCCTAGATGTGGCCGAATCTGAAGAGTTTGTTTTTAAAGCTCTCTGAGCTTCACACATTCCGGTGAAACATACGGTAGTAAGAGAGATGACAACAACAACTAAAATAATAATAATAATTACAGCACTCGGACTGAGAAATTGCCCACAAAAGCTGATTCATAGCAGAATAGCTGCTATGAATCAGCATAGCAGCTATTCTGCTATGCTGATTCGCTGCTGCTGGCGACAGTTCGCCAGCAGCAGCAATCACATCCTGTGCAACCAGCTGTGATTCCGTATTTATACGGAACTCCTGCAAGTTCCTCATGGAACTTGCAGGGGAAAAAAACATTTTGTGCCTTTAAGAAAAACTTCAGTGCTCTCCTCATTCACTGAAACCTCAAGGAGGTGATTAACCAAAAGGATAAATGCAACTTTAACTTGCATACATGTACTATATTCATTCTCATAACACAGACAATGGCTGCAAGAAGGTGGCTACTAACCTAAACAAGTCCACATCTACAGTCAAAGCTTAAAATAGATGGAGCTGTGACAAACAAAACTTGAAGAAACCAAATGCTCTTTTACCATTACACCCAGAAAGAAGGACCATAAGTAAAAAAATAAAAATAAAAACTTGCTCCATAAAGATCAGGGTAAGAGAATCAAAGCAAAGCTTTAGATTTGTGATCAAATAAGATAACACTTTAACAAATTTTACACATTTTTACCAATGTAAAATGGTAAAAAGGTGCCAATAAATGTTGAGGGCGCTGTATTGTTTTGATCAAAGCTTGTATTGATATATAGCCCCTTTTGCAAAACCTGAGATAATCGTTGTCAACATAGTTTAAAATCATCTCTGTATGCAGTAAACATGTATTTTCTTTCCTTTATTTAATATTTGACATGAAAGTTCACATTTCTTACATAAAATAAAAAAAATCAACACATTCCATCTGAGTAAAGGCTGACTTTTTGAGTGCCTGCTTTCTTCCCTAATTGAATGACATATCTGAACATTAAAAAATAAAAAATAAAAAATCACAGTTGGGAAAACCTGCAGTGAAACAAGAAATGTGTGTCGTTTCAACCAGTGTGTTAAAACATAAAGATATAAAGAATTAACCAAAAGTGTACAAAATTAACAGCAAGGAAAGAACCCTATTTGTTTCATTTGAATGACTTTCTGTAAATACTCTGCTTTCAGTTTGCAAAGTTCCTTCAGCATGTGCTCCAATAGTCACCCTAAAAAATGTTTGTTTCTTTTGTTGTTGTTTTTTTTTTTTCCTGATTCAGGAGTAAATGCCTCAAAAATGATTTCTGTATCTCTCAGAACTGCAGAATAAAATTCAGCCCACGCATCAGTGAAGGCTAAACACGCCACAGGTGTTCAGATGGCCATGTGTTTTTCTGGTGCCTGCTTGTGGGCGAGGTAAAGGAAGAGGATGCTGGACAGAGCGCTGACCAAGAAGATGACGTCAAACCAGCGGTGGTAGAAGTTGAACTGGAGCTCTCCCAGAACCTCTGTCACGATGGAGCGGTACTCCAGCGGCATGCTCATGCGCATCAGCAGCACAGATGAAACAAAATACATCCCCTTATAGATTCAGATAAAAATAAAAATTAAGAAATGGATTCAAATTTAACTCCAGGCTGCAGGAAGTACTCGACTCTGAAGAAAAACACACTCACCATGATCTGAGCGAGGACAAGCACGATGACATTGGAAGATTTGCTGCTTGATATTGCGTAGAAGAACTAAAATAAAATGAAGGTGACAATATTCAGAAGATGGAAGCTGAAAACGATAACTTTTCAAGAAAGAAAATGTGCATGTGTGTTAAATATTTGAGTTGAAAAATATTTGGCCTTCGGCATAACTGTATAATCTTTGCCACATGTTAAAACGTGACAGACTGCAGGTTAGAGGTTTTAATCTGAATTTAAGTGTGCACACTTTAACTAATGGGCCATCATTACCTTTGTGAGTGTGATAAGCAAACCTCGTATGGAAGTGACAATTATTATTCCAACCAGGATGAAGGAAATATGCTGGGACCAAAATTTCACCTGGAACACAGAAAAGAGGAGAAAACGTAAAAAGAAAGCCAAAACCTTTGGCGTTTTAGATTCCTCCCTCAGAACCTGAACCTCTTGGACTCAACAACTGCTGTTATGTGAACACACATGAACAACACATGGTTAACTGCAGAGACAACAAGGCAGAAAATTATCTTTACAAGAGGTCATTCCAGGTGATCCTGGGGGATTAGTTGGAGACATAAACAAATTTCTGAAAAGTAAATCATTAAATGTATTTGTAAGCTTAAATTCGGAGTTGATGTCAAGATTAAAGAAGCAGAGGTTGCAGAGAGGGATAGGATAAATTCATGCAGTGATCATTGAAAGTAATAGAAAAGCTCTCAGAAGTAATGAATTCATACACAAGTGTGTTTCTTACATCAAACTGGATGCCCAAGTAGTTCACTGTGATTTCGATACCCCTGGTCACCGGATCCGTCTTTCCAACTCGATCAAACACTATGTTTATCGTTGCCTGTAAATGGAAGAAAGGTTTAAAAGTGAAATCAGTGACAACACGCCTTTTAAAGTAAATATATAGCCAGCAGGAAGTGACGTGAATGTTTATGTGAGATGTAAAACACGAATGCGGTGTTCCTACCATGAAGATTTTCCAAACACAATAGATGGAAAAGAAGTAACCAAGAAAGTTGAAGTATTTCCCTTGGAAGGTCTTTGAGTACTCAATTCGCTCCTAAAGAAAAAAAAACAACACAAAACAAGACAAATCATCCATCGCATAATTACAAAAGGTAAACTAGTTATAAATAAACATACTAGAAAATAAGCTGATGCTCATGCATGTTAAATGTTTACTCCAGGTGAGAAAATTCTGCTGGTTTCCATCAAAGATAATCATAGGTTTATGTGGTAATTAACATTAAAATTTATAAATTTTTTGTGGCAACAGCTGTAAAATTAATCACACCACCTTCAAAACGTGTTAATTACAGCAGCGTTGTGCGTGAAAACATTCAAAACGTTGACGACAAGAGAAACTTGAGCTGAGCATAAAACGGTGCTACATTTGGTGAGGGCCTGGTGACTGCTGTGTGTGTAGCCACAGTTAACGGTGTATTTGAACCCGTGTAAACAAATATGATACTAAAGAGGTAAACCAGCCCTTAAGTGCTTTAAAAGTTGGTTGGCCTCAGTTAAAAGCACAGTCATTGCAGGCACTTTTGCCATTAATATACCTAATTCATTTTCCGTTGGAGAATAAGGGCAGCTGTACTGATGATTGAGCTAAATATAGAAAATACAGTGGTGCATTCGCCCTTTCCTGATTTCAAACAGGGTAAAATTATATAAAAGCAGGACATCATGAATTACTTAGGCAGGATAATCTGCATGTTCAGCAAATGCTAGTCTCCTACCCAATCAACATACTAGGTCCAAATTCTCGGACACACACTTGTTTACCTTGGTGGCTTGCAGATCCACCGTCTCCAGGAAGAGTTGTCGACTCAGCTCCTCCAGAGCATCAACTTCCTGCTGGATCAAAGACAAATCTACAGCGAGGAAAGTCAGGGATCACAGCAGCTAAGATTTTTTTCAGGATAGTTAGCAGGAATCTAAAATATAGAGATGCTTGCATCCAAGCATGAAGGATACTTTCACTGCCTGTTTGTGTAGAGGTGACACTCTTGATCATGCCCCAGAAACCAGTCTGTTTGTTTTGGTCCTCCCCTCGTTGGTACATCTGCCTCCTCGTCATGGCGATTCTTGAGAGACAAAATAAAGCGTTATTTTACTTTTTGCAGAAAGAAAAAATGGTTTGAAGATCAAGAGGGGGTGTAAAATCATTATTCTCACCGTTTCTTTTTGCTGACAATCATATCCATGGTTTGGAGTAACCGCCTCTCCAGAGCAAGAATGTCACTATCTGTTACATTTCTGCGAAAACAACAAAAGCTAACTGTGAAGACACACTGCCACCTTCTGCTTGAACACTGCAAAGAAACAGCCGACGGGCCGAACCTGAGGAAATAGGACATGTATGTGTATGGACAGTTGACGGCACCAAACCCTGAGAGGAGAGCCATAAGGGTGACTCCGATCACACCGACACGACTGATGAGCTGCTCAATGGACAGAATCCCTGCACAAAATCAATCAGAAAGAGACACTAAAGACACTAAAGAAAGAGACACAGAAAGAGACACTAAACAACAAACAGCTCATAAACTTCACAGATGAATGATGGTGCAGAACCTTGCAAATGGCCTCTTTCACATTTTGCCACATTACAATTGCAAACCTCAGTGTATTATAATGAGATTTTATGTGATAGACCAACACAAGTATCACATAGCTGTGAAATGGGAGGAAAACAATCCTCGGTTTTAAAATGGTATTTTTTTTTTTTTTTTTTTTTTTCCCCAAAACAGATATTTAAAATGTGAAGTGCAATCTGTGGATTGTAGAAAGATCTCTCCCTGCATGACAGATACAAGTCTTTTGTGGTACTTCTGACAGTTGTGACTGAAATTTTTCCCCAAATTCATTTTTGAAAATCCTCTACTGGCATTCGGACTGGATGAAGTGTTTATGAACATAATTTTTCAGGTGTTCAAATGTTTTAATTTAAACTATTCTGTTTCTTTGGCTGTATGTATAGAGTAGCTGTCCTGTTGCAAGATGAACCTGCACAATGAATCTAGGCAAAACATTTAAATGTAGGTCAAATAAGAGCAGTATACTTTCTGTTCCCTACATTACTTGAGGCAAACTCCAGGCCATTCATCGGCTTTCTTCTGGACTCTCTGTTATAAAGATGCTGTTTGTTCAGAAATGTTCTCTACCAAACCTCCAATGCCTTCATATTTACTATTTAGCTGGGCTCTAAATGCGATTGAGTTAAATATAACACCAGATTTCAATTATTATTATTTCAGAAAAAAATAAAAGCAGTTTCCTTTCCCTTCCATATCTCATGTATGCACTTCTTTGTTTGTTTATGACATAAACTCCACTGAATTTCCTTAGAAAATGTGAAAAATCCTTAAAGGATGTGAATACATTGGCATGACACTAACACGGCATGAAATGCAACATTTTGATGAAGCCTCGTTTACTCACCATGTTTTGGACTCAAGATTGGGAATGGGTCTCCTAACTTCCAGAAGAAATACATGAAGGTAAACCAAACCATACAGGCAAAAAGGAGTTTTTGCCTCTGCACTGATAAGACAACAAGCAAACAGTTCACTATTAGAACAGCACCTTCAAATGTTAAAAGTTTTGTTTGTTTGTTTTTCTTGAACTTACACAATCGTATGTTGCTGACAACAAAGTAACCGATATAAAAAGGCACCACAAAGATTAGAACCAGCAGAATCACATACAGATTCAACTTCCAGTGGAAATACCTGGAACTGGGACAAAATGTGATGATGAACAAATTGTATCTGTTTTAACCAAGAGATCAGGCCTTTTCCCTAAAAGTAAATATCACTTACGTGCTGCTTAAGGCCCCAAGAATCTCAAAAATGATAAGCTCGAACATTGTACAGGAAAACGCAAAGGTGACAGAAAAAACCACCTGGACAACATACTGTCGCACCTGAAAACAAAAACACAGTTTGACTGTAAAACATTTACAAGTCTGCTAAAGAAGAGAAACCTCTAATATCTGTATCTGTTGTGTTTCTTTTTATTAGAATCAATATGTTATGTCTTAAACAAAAACCAGTTGGATTTTAGAGACATAAATTACTAATGCTGCAAATGGAATAACACCTTACCTCATAATCTTTGAACAGTTGCCGCATAAAGAACAACCAACCAAACCCAAAAAACAGCACCTGGACGAAATATGCAAAAAAAAAAAAAAAAAAGTTGATGGTAAGTACAAAGACACTCAGTAACTTCATATATGAAGTAGTTTGAAAAACCTTATGAAAATCAGGTTCAAACCCAATCTAGATTAATTCTTCTACTTCACATTAATTCAATACAGTCTAATTTCTTAATGATTATCATATAACAAGTTGATAAACAACAACATCATAAAATGCTAATTGAGCTGGTAAAAACACTGCATTATCAAACTTTACTTATGAGAAACCATATAGTTAATGTGGATAATACCGATCATATTTCATCTTGAAATATCTTAGAAGAACTGGACCCATGTCCTAAAAATCTAAGTTAACTACAGAAAAGTATACTTCTTCCAACCGATTACCTGAGAGGTGAACATGATGACTGAGTCCACCAGAAACGACATGATGATTATGATGTGAGTTAAACAACCTCAAACACTTCGAAAAACCCCAGTGCTGCAAAGTGCAGGCCAAGATTAGTTCATTTTAACCCCAAGGACAAAAACACAGTCTTTCTTAAAAGTGAACCGTGTGTTATGTATCTAACATTTTGACACTTGTTTAGCTGTCAAGCTACAACAGCAAGTCGTCACCAACATACTTCCGTCGCAGGGATACTACGTCATTCGCCATTCAAAGTAAGGAAAACAAATAAAAAGGTTCAAAAACTTAAGTCAAGATAACAAAGCATAAAATAATAAAACAGACTATTATAATCACTTATTATCATTTGTAATTTTAAAACAGCACGGTCATAGACATAGACCGTTCGTTAATATCGCCGCCATATTGTGAGTGTAATTGTTTCCCGGATATATTTAACTATGCATAGGTTTTAAATTAATCATTTATTTTATACGTTTTATTTTTATGCTTAGTTTAGAACTATTTTACGCGCATCCGTTTAATATTTGTTGTTCTCTTATTTTGATTTTCAGAATTATTATTATTATTTATTTTTTTTTATTTTTTTTTTGCGGTTAATATCAACATATTCAGTACTGGCACGAACATGTATATGAAACTAACATTACAATTAATACAAACAGTGTTTCTTATGAGAGGCCCCTCATATTTTCTTCAGTCGTAAAAACGTAGTTTATAATAGTTGATTTTCAAAACGTTGCCACTCACAATATGGCAGAAGCGCCGTCAGCAACAGCAAATGTTTTTATTCATTTATTGTTTTAACCTTTTCTCTCCAAAGTGAAATAAATAAATAAATAAATAAATAAATTTTCTTTGTTTATTGTGTATTTTTAAATTCTAACACAAATCTCAAAAATAAAATAAGCTGCTTAGGATTGACTATTTTGATCATTTTATATATCTCTATTTTCTATTGTCTTATCAGCTATGCGTATATGTATATTTTAAAATAAAAATATAAGTAGATAAATAAATGAACAAATAAATATATTATTTTTCGAGATCTTATATTTGCGCGTAATGTATGTACCGTGACACCAGAGGGCGCCGTGGAACCAAAACTTTCATTCCTCATCGCGGACTACATTTAATTTGGGTAGTGCGCCTTTAGTGTCCAGTGCTGCCTGCGGTTAGAGTATCAGTCCGAGGGGAGCGCAGCAGCGAAACACTTGGAGGAACAGAAACTATCGCATGCCGATGCTGGATTATAAGGATGCAGGAGATGATGCAGAGGTAGACCGTCTTAAGCTGTTGGCTTTTCACATTTGTAACAAGAGGCATAAGGTGAGTCTCTGTTAACTGATACAACTTGTAGAAGAAATGTTATTGTGAACTCTGATTTGTTCTCTTGATTAATAAAGAACTAAAAGTTTTTAGTTTAACAGTTTTTAGTTTAGTGTATCTTATATTTCAAAATGGGATTAAAATGTTGGCAGTTGAGAAAAATATGCTGAACTTATAAATGCACTTTATGCTTCAAGGTTCTATAATGAACTAAAGTGCAAATAATTGTTATATGCTGGCTCGGTGTACAATATTTTACATGGAACACTGGCATACGGAGTTAAAGCAGATGCAATCATAAAGAATGTGGAGTAGAAACAGAACAGCTTCATAGTTGAAGATACAAAAAATATATAAAATAATAACAGATAGCTGGATTTTGATCATTTTGACTCACTGAGCTGAATATTGTTTGCTGGCAAATTAAAGCATCCAGAAGCTTGACTAAAAACTGTGTGGACAAACCAAATGCCTTCTGGAAAGGTGGGGTTTATTGGCAAAGAGGACAACGATTGAACCCTTTGGTCAGAATAATAAAGAATAATGTTTTGTCATGAAATGGGAAGGTGAGACTTTAATAATGCCGTATTAACTGTAAAACATGGTCTTCATAGCTTCATACTGTAGGGCGTTTTTCCTGGTGCATGGTAAGAGGTTGATGGAAACTACTGCCTAGAAAATATGTAACTTCACTTCAAATAAAATCAACAGCAAGATGGATTCAACTTGGACATTAGTAGCTGTTTCAAAACATCAGTGATTCCAAATACACATAAAAAACTGGTTTTGGAAAGGATTATGATCTGTATTTTCCACTTAAAAGTCCTGATGGTAATCCTGTGAAACATTCAATCTGGATCCAGAGACCAACTAGTTCACATGTGTTCTAGCATTGTCAAGAAACGCAGTCAAAAATTGATTTATGATTATAAAAAAAAATCTATTCAGGTCATGATGAGAGGTCTTTCTATTTTTCCTCAGTGAGAACGATGATGATCCCTGTCACATGTAGAATAGGTCTGCAGGTGTCTTTTCTCCTCCTCTTAATTGGACAAACACATGGTGAGTAGGGGCATGCAAAGTCAAACCAATAAAATACTAAAAAACATTAAAAAAAACTACTCCCGCTCTCCATTTGCAAAATATTGATTTCAGGTAGAGTGACGGCGCCGGCACGTTTGAAGGCACCAGTGGACAAACCCTTTACACTTACCTGCACGCTGTCAAAGGACCGTGGTGAAACTTTGAGGGAGGTCCGTTGGCTGGATGACAAGAATCAGACCCTGCTGAGCTACCAGCCAGGTAACAGAGACAGCGTGAGTGGACAGCAGCATGTGGAGCTCGCCACCTCACCAAAGGACTCCTCAGCGATCACCATTCGCAGGGTGGGCTTCCGTGATGAAGGCTGCTACACCTGCATCTTTGAGCTCAGTCCTTCAGGTTCAAAGCAAGGACAGACGTGTCTCACTGTTGACGGTAAAGGAAATATTTATAATTATTTTGAGTCTGATAAGGTTGGGAACACAAGTACTTTGCATTTAGGATAAAATATATTTATTAAAGATGAGATAGACACTAGTATAGCTCAGAAGCTAGGAGGAGATTATAATCTAGGGGAAAGGTAGAAGAGAATGGACAGAATAAGTTGTTTGACTCAATGGAGGAGCAATAATTAATGCAGCTTTAATAATCATAGAACCTGATTTGTGGATGCATAAGGGAAAGATTCATTAAGATATTTCACATACGAGTAGCTTATATTGAAGCTACTCAATATAAATTTTGGTAACAATTTACTAATAGTTACCACAATCTGACTATATTTTTAGCATGAAGGAGAAGTATTGCATGATTTTGCATCAGTACTGTGAACACAGCTGAAAGCAGATAAAAATGCATCAGAAAGATCCAATGACTGAACCCTGTGTAACTCCATAATAAATGATCCCTTCCATCTCATTTATTATTTACTGGTACTAAGCAATCGTGATATTTATGTTACATAGATGACATTGTGCAGAAGGAAGAGTCATGAACTGGGTGTGTAAAACCTCCACTCGAAACCTGAATGAGTTACAGTCCCAGTGATAGTAAGAAGAGATAAGCTGACAAACGGACATTTTTTTTTAAAACTGTAAGCTCTCGCGTTGTGAAGCAAGTTGTCCTCTGTTTGGCACAGACAACATTCACATCTGTTAGAGCGATAGATTTGTTAGGAAAGTCTTTTACGAAAGAGTAGCCAATATGAACGAGGGATAAGTTGGCTGAAGACAGAGCTCTCACAAGAGTGTCAAAAAAAACGGTGGTCTGCATTCAGTCTTCATAGTCGCTGTCCCTGTTAATATTCCATCGCTTGATTGATTTTGGATGCTTTCCCTTTTGCACTCAAGGCTTAAAACTGAAAACATGCGAACACACGTGTTCCCAACCGCTGTTAACCTCTGACCAGAAACTGATGAGCGTGCTGAGTCCGGGCCAGTCATGTTAATAAAGAGCTGTGCAGCAGTGGGAGAAGGGGAGCTTAAGCTCCTAAGCAGAAACAGCTGGGCCAGATTCCACTGAGTGGTTTCTGTTTGGGTACCTCATATTCCCAATATTAACATTCTCCTTTACGCGCCCCTCGTCTCCCAGCTATGTTTATTGTCTTTTCTGCCCTCAGCTGATCCTTTGTGTTTCATTCGCAGCCGAAGTCACATCAGAGAGAAACAAAACAGCAGTGAGCGGCAAGAAGGCGTCCCTGTCATGCTCCTTTGGTTTGCCCGAGAAGGTGCAGCAGATACTGTGGAAACACACACCTGCTCAAGGTGAATCGACAGAGGTGGCCTCTTTCGCGAAGCGGAGCGACCCCATGATCGAGCCAGCTTATCAGGGGAGAGTCTGGCTCTCTGCTTCTCTGTCAGACAGTCAGCTTACGATCCAGCCTGTCGCCATCCAGGATGAGGGCTGCTACACCTGCTTCTATGAGACGCACAGCGAGGGGACAAAGAGCTCTGTGGTCTGTCTCTCTACCTACGGTAAATGTCTGCTTTTCAAGTTCGCTTTTACCCGTCGACATAAACGCTTCAACAATGCAACATTAGGTCAAAACGTTTGTTTCCCCGTCTTTTATCAAGTTCCAGGAATTGAAAAAATAATTTTCGCAATAAAGATGTAGCAAATATTTCCATCAAAATGTCTTCTTGAGCACATTTGGGATTTGTCCTAAAAATTAAAAACTGAGTTACGCTGGTTGCTAAGATAGACTGTGTGTGTTATTATTATTTTTTTTTTGGTTTCTTTTTATGCCAAAGTCACTTACATTTGAATAGGCATTGTTTTAAGTTAAGTAGAAAAATGTGAAACTTAGGAAATGTGACAAAAGGGAATTCAATACATGACCTATTTCTTTCTAAATCGAGTCATTTTAGTCAAATTATTTATTGCAGTTACATTGCTGATACTTAGTAAAGCAGGGCTTCTTTACTTTGGCACAGTTTCTGATACAACAATTTGCAAAACATGCATATTTCTTCATTCATCTAGTGCAATCTCCTTCAGTCTCAGTCACATTTACCTTTCACACAATAACTGAAACACATAATCTTAAGATTTCCCTGAGTTGCTCCAGTGGAGATGATGCTCTCTGTGATGAATCTCTCAATCTGTTGAATTCCTCCTCAATACTGAAAAGCACAAAAGGAGGAGGGTTTCTTTCTCTTTCTACTTATCACAGTTTAAGGCTTTAGAAAGATAAAGTCTTAAACTGAATTTGCCTCCAAATTCAGGCACATTCAGTGGGCAACATTACATCGATCACGTTTTGTAGCTAAGGTGAAATTTTAAGAAAAAATTTACAGTTTGGTGGTGTTACAAAGTACCTTTTTGGCACTGGGAACGTCTTT